AAGTAAAGCAAACAATTATCTCTTCTAGTTAAGATCTTTGTTCATGGTTGCTGCTTGACATAGGTTGGTAAGCCGTTTAAAATTTTGCACATTGAGGATATGAAACAAAATATTTTTTTTATGTTTTATATGTACAGTTGAATAACCGAAAAATCATAAATTAATATACTAGTACTATAGAATTCCATTATAATTTATCAAGCTTAGTAACTGAGCTGTATTTCAGTCTAAAAAAAATATGAAATTTCAAGCAGACTAAATATGCAACCTACCTCCTTGAAATCTTGGTTCAAAAGAAAGAGATGGTGTCCTAAGAATTTAAAATAGCTAAGAAAGCCACTAAGGGGACATTCTGAGCTTTCATTTGGTTATTCATGTGATATATAGGTTAAGTGTATATAAGGGAGCATTTCTAAAAATGGAAAGAGGTGGGTGGGGTACCACTGTGTTTGATTTATTACATGAGCAATATTTTAGCAAAAAGAAAAGATAAGAGGCTCTTATTTTATATTCTAGCTTGTCAATATTGGTAATTTTAGTTTCTAATTTGTACCTGTCTGGAAAGGGTTAGTTGAGTACTCTTTCAGTTAATAATGGTTTTTGGCCTACATGATCACCATTTTTTGCCTCATGAAACTTATTTAAAAACTATTTATTTTCAGAATTGTTATTGGGAAAAAAAAATTAAAGCTGAGTTTAAGTAATGATTGACTTTGTTTTTTTTTAACAGGCTCTTTCATCTTTAATAGGAGCTTTTATTATAGAGAAAGTACAGAACAGTCTTGGTTGGTTTGGGGCTTTTTGTGTTATAGGAGGAATGAGCTTAACAGGTATAAAGAAACCATATTTTATCCACCTAATGCTGCTAGTATTGTTTTACATTAGATTTCTATGCAAATTATTACGTGCTGTGAAAAATGTGAAATTCAGAATAATAGACTTGTGACTTTATCAAAATAAGAATGTTGAACTGATTATGTAATTATTTGAAATTTAGTTTCTCATTATAGAAATACTGTTTATGTGAATAATTTTAATTTTACCATTGTTTGAAATGTGATTGAAGTATAGAACTTATCAATTATAATTTTTATAGTTTGGGTTGAATGAGCTATTTTATGTTTATTTGTTGAATCAGAATAATTCTTAATCTCAAAAGCCTAAATAAAATTAAAATAAATTTAATAATGTCATCTCATTATAATTGTCAACTCAATTTCTGTACTGTAAAATTATATATTTCAGCTCTTGTCATCACTCTATTCTTCCCTCAAGATCCAGAAGTTGTTCGTCATCGCCATCACCAATAAGCAAGTGATAAGAAATTTTCTAAGCATTGAAAAAAAATGGATTAATACAAACACCAGTTTGGTTTTTTGTTGTAATATGAAATTATGGTGTCATTAATTATTGTGTAAAAAATATAATGATATGAAAATAGACATATATATATATATATATATCATAGTGTATTATTGTGCTTACAATGTGTATTTTCAGTGTTATCGCAAATGTTATGCTACAGTATTTTGATGATGGTACATAGATATTTTAAAATGATGTTTAATCAAATTGCATTATAAAAAATCTGTCAGTATTGACTATAAATTACCTGGTTTTTTCGAACTGTAGTGGAGACAAGTTTATCAGCTATTTTCATGGATTTTAGAATGATAATATCTTAGGTGTGTTCTTATCAACCACTGTATAAATAACTTGGGTATAATATACTGCAGTTTGACAACTTTTCTAATCAGTTGATCATTCAAGTCACAATGTATTTTTAATATGGTTAAAAAATGAGTTTTCCAAAACACACATGCCTCCGCTGCCACTTAGCTCTTACTTGACTGCCAGGGTTTCAATCTTTGCTCATCTAAGCATTGATCTGATTTTTTTTTCTCTCTTGCTCCAGTCTGTTATACCCCACCCAATTGCCCTTGGCGATATACTCTCCACCTACATCAGTGCACCCTCTATCTTAATACTGTATATAATATGATTAATTTAATAGCACATCACCTGTCTCGGCCCAGTCAAATTTTCCTGACCATCGCAAGGTTTTCTGGTGGATTTGCTCTCAGATCAGGATTCTCATTATTGGTGCATTTGCCACTTATTGAAACTCTCAACTACAGCCATTTTTGGTCCCCAGCATTCAGTCAAGATTGGGTGGGATTGCACTTCTCTGCCTTTTCCCCCAATTCATTGGTTACCCAGAGTTTTGGCTATGATTCAATCCTCTACTTGAGAGCTATTGGTAGCCCCAGATTGGCCTGCCCAACCGTGGTTTCATCTTCTACGGTATCTTCAAGAGGGTCCACCTCTGCCTCTTCCTCTTTGGCTATCTCTGAGGCAACCAACCTCAATCCAACATTTTACACCCAAACTTTCCTAAGCTCAAACTTTATGTCTGGAAGTTATGCAGTTCTTCACACAGCATTGGGGTTTAAATTCTAAAGTTGCCTTGTATGTGTCTCAATCTATCCGTAAACCCACAATGGCCATTTATCAGCTGAAATGGCACACTTGTAGCCAATGGTGTCTCACGAGGAAATTGAACCCACATCACCGAAACGTGCCCACCATTTCTCATTTTTTTCACTTTGGTCTAGCTTCATTTACTGTTGCTTTTCATAAGGCAGCTTTATCGACTACTTTTCGTTATTCTAACATTGGAAAGTTTTTGACTCCCCATTGCTATCTGGCCTTCTCCAATCATTTAGAGTCCTTCATTCCAAACAGCCTTTTCAATTACCCAACTTGGATATCAGGGTGGTATTACATGTTCTGTCTCCACATCCATTTGAACCTTTAACCTCATGTACTACGTATCACCTTTCACTTAAAGGGTATTTTTTGTTGCTGCTGGCATGTGGACATTGTAAGTCAGAGTTGTTTGCACTACATGTGCACAGTACTCTTTATCACTTCACTTCTCTCCTGCTATACCCTGATAGGTTCTTTCTTCCTAAGACTCTGGCAGCCAGGGATGGGGATAAATCCTTCTTACCAATTCTTTTGCCAGCTATTTCTCCCCTTTATGTCTGATCAGACACAGATAGTTTGTTATGTCCTGTAGAGCGATAACTCATTTCGAGGTGATGGAACTCTACTATGTCTTTATTAGGATCCTTCAGTTTCCTGAGATTTATTCCCAATTACTTTGATGAGGTGGCTTCACAAACTGATCCATATTGCTTATTCTGGGCTTTCTTTACAGGCAAGGAAACTTCTTAGAGTTGCATTTCATCAGATTCAGCACATTTCTATGTCTTTTGCTTCCCATTTCAATTTCCCACTGGAGGACATTGTACATGCTGATATGTGGCCTTCTCCCAATACTTTTCTCTCACACTCTTTACACAATCTGGCAGTTTCTTCTTCTGAGGATTTTCGACTACCCCCGTGGCCATTTTGACAACATCTGCTAGATTCTAAAGAGGAGTGAGTATTTTTTGTCCTCCTCTTATCTCTTTACTTTCCAAGGTCTCTTACCTCTTTTTTTCACTGAATCCTGCTCTGTGGCAAGCGTTGCCCAGACAGGTGTGCTTTTATCAATCCAATTCCACACTAACAATAAATTTACTATTCTTACTACTGGTTGCAACAGGCTTTGTTGAAATGAGGTGTTCCATAAGACCATCTAGGAGCTCATCAGATGGCATTACCATATTATGCTGGACTGCCACTGATGGACTATCATGAGTAAAGCTAAATGGGATCTTGCCCACCCCTGCCAATCATTGGATTGGCTAAGTCGGAGTTGGTTTACCTGTTGCACTGTTCCTCAGTACTCCCCGATGTGCACTCCCCCCCCCCCCCTCCCAGATTCTACTAGTAGAGCTAGGGAGTCCTTACCACACCCAGTTTCCCCAGTCACTGGGGTGTGGACAGAGGCTTTTCCTCCAGAATGTTTGAGTGTTTTCTCCATTTTTGGAGAAGAGGACTAAGTTGGGGGCCCTCCTACCCGGGTCCCTGGATGTTTTTTCCAGATATTTGTAGGAGTGACACCAGCCTCCGTGAGAGCCTACTTGTAATACTGGTTCAGATTTTATGCTAAGTTATCCAGTTGGGGTGTGTATGGCCCTTCCTTTTGTTCAATATCAGTTTAGTATATTGTTGATGGAAGGAGGTCCACTATCTCCTTGTAATTCCGAACACAAAGTGGTCCCATCCTGGGTTCTTTGTTGAGCACAGTGTTCCACGTCCTTCTCCATAATTCCGGGGTCAAGTAGAATGCTCCTTGTTCACTCGGTTGTGGATTGAGGATAAATGTTCATAATTCCAGACTAAATTAGCTCTGTTCCTTTGGTTGAATAAGGCATACATGATCCCATCATTACGAGCCTGGGATGTTACCTTTTGGACTTCTTCAGGTGGAGGAGAGTTTGTCCACTTCGGTGTTGCTTACTTTTTTGTTGTAATTTCTGTGGTTCAAAATCCATCACTCTATGGCTACAGGTTGGGATCCAATCAAAAGTATATCTATAAATAATTTTGCGGTCCAATTACCCTAGCCACCAACATGGGATATAGGGACCAAGACCCCTTAATTCCAACCCAGAGTTGTGGAACCTTGGCTATCTGGTTAAAGCTGTCCTATAATGATGATTACTCATACTGTTCCACTCTTGATACAGGAACTTAGTTTTTCTGGGTAAAGAGCATACCTGTTCTGATGTAGTGCGGTTCATCCACTCTTGTACCAACTTTGTCTTGGTATGCTCCTGTTCTATACAGATGTTTTCTGTATGGTTCATCTCTGCACCAACCCCTCCACCTTCTCAATGTGGGATTCAAGCTATAATGTCAGCAGAGGTATGTTTTGGAAGATAACATTTTCCTATATTGAAAATTTATTTCCAATAATACTTACCTCTGCTGGCACTCTCCCACCCTACCTCCCCACTAAAAGCCGGTGTTAGAGACTGGGAAGTGATTATATTATTTAAATGAGGTGCTTATATACAGTACTAGATAGAAGGCACATTGAAGTTGGTGGGAAATTTTGCAAATTAGAATTTTCCAGGGGCATTTGAGTGGGACATAAAAGACTGGAGCAAGCATTTTCAATGCTTAGATGGGCAAAGAGTGGAAACCGTGGAGATCGAGAAATAGCTATAGTGTCAGCAGAGGCAAGTATTATTGGAAATACATTTTTAATTTAGGAAAATGTTAACTTATGAAACTGAAATTATTATGCACAAATTATGAATACATAGTACAGAGTTGTAAAATATGTATTGTACATTTATGTTTATTTAATATGTTTACACGTATTCCATGTTGACTAACCTCTGTGCTGTTAAAAGGGGCCAGTAATGATTAGGAATAAGTGAAACGACTAGGAACCCCAGAAAGTATTGTGAAGAGGTTTTATTCACTCAGCATTTCAGCTTTATTCTTAACAAGGAGATTAACATTGTATAATGAACTTTATCACAAGTTTCTAATTTGAGAGATGGAGGGTTCATTAGAAAAAGTAAAGCTATTAATAAAGCAGTAAAACTAAAATATTGAGCAAATAACATCTTACAACCTTGTATGGTTCACGGTTATTTCATTTAGTATAATTATGTGCACTTTATTCTAGTCAGAATTATTTAAATTTTATTTTTCTAAAAGTATTAAAGAACTCTCTTATGAGAAGTTGTAACAGAGTGTAGTTCTTCACCACTTTAAATATAAAAATGGTACTTTTTTTTCCATTACCTTCAGTTTCATTTCTAAGTAACAAAAATTACATTTTTTGTTCATCCTGTGGTTCAGTAAACTATTCTTCTTTAAGACTTTTTCTTTATTGCTTATTTTGCTATTTTAAAGTAAGCTAATGCTTATGTCCATCTCCATATTAATAGTTTGTATTGTTATTTTATACTACTTTGTATTTTAGTAAGAAGTGGTTAGCTTATCTGTCTAATACAACATATTTCCCTTAAATATGTAAGTTTGCATTTCGTTACTGAAACATTTCTTCTTTCTCTTTGTTCCTACAATTTTATCTGCATTACCTCTTTCTGGAGGGGTACCAAGTGGTCATTATTATTTTATTTTTATAGAACATTATTGCTAATTTAATATAATAAGCAGTTGAATTTTCCATATGAAACTACCCCATAACTGAAAAATCAAGCCAGTTTTCAATAAATTGAGTTTAAGTCAAACAGTTTTCAAACTAGAGATTTTTGTTTTTTTTGAACATAAAATTCTAACTTCTCTGGAATATTTTCTCAGAATTCAATGTGCTTTTTATTTTTTATTATGAGTGTTTTATTCTATAAGAAATGATAAATTTTTCATGATGAAATTATTTCAGGTTGAAACTATTGAAATGATTCTTTTTTTAATCAAATTTAATAGCAGAATGTGCTTTATGTAAGGTTGTGAAAATATAAAGTTTTAGAACTCAGAAATGTTTCATCGAGAAGCGTACACGTAAGAAATAATGTTCTAAACGTACCTTGCTAAAGACACCGATATTCTCATAAACCCTCTCCAGTTTTACAGTGATGCAGTTTGTTGTGTACACCTTATTATTTCACTATGTATCTAGGTTATCATTATTTAATATAATAACCAGAAAATATACACCATTTAATCTTCCAAATAAAAGTTTACTACACCTATTTGTAGGTTTACAGCTACCTAGCTGTGAAAGGCTGCAAAAGAAGGCTTGTAGCTTGTGAAAAATAAGTGTTTGTTTAAGTAAAGAGTAAAGTAATTTCCACATATTATGAGTTTGAAAATTAGAACTGAATATCATGTCCAGGTTTGTTTTTGATGCTAGTAGATTTTTGTTCCATCATGTGTATAATTAATGTAGTTTGGATAGAAAGAAAATGAAGTACTTGCTCTTAAGTGCAATAGTTTATATTGAATTGATATATAGGTTGTGATTCTGTTTTGTTAATCTCTTGTGAAATCTACTGCATTTTAAACACTTTTAGTAAGAATGTATATACATACATAATATATATTGTGTAATTTTTACAGTCCAATGATCATACATCTAAAAATAACTACATAAGCTAGAAACGTAGAAACAGAACAACATAAAAAGAAGGAATAATTAGTAGCGTATTAAAAATTTAAATTGAAGCCCATCTTCTGTGAGAAATTTAGATAATACCATAAAGTTTTTGTTGCTAACTATAATTTCTCTGCATAGGTAATCTGACAAAACTTTCTTCATGAAATTTTTTGTTCATGTGTTGGTTGGTTTGAATTAAATAGAATAACTATAAATCTTTTTTAGGAATAGCCTTTATTATGAAATATTTATTATATATTTTTCTCAATTGGTAACCCTCAATTTATTCACAGTATTTACCTCAACTATTTGTTTACAGTCTTTCAATTATGTTTATTAAAAGACTAATTTGTGAAACTCGTAAGATTTCTTAGATTTGAATATTGAAGACAGAACTTAGCATTAAGTTTACCCACTTACAATACTTAAGTTCAGGGTTTGATTCCCTATGGTGGACAGAGTATGGATAACTTTGTGTTAAAACAACAACAGAATACAGCTGTCACTGACCTTCCAATTTCTGTAATAAGTTAAACTTCTTTGTTCAAAGAAAGTGTTCTGTTTACAAGTATAGTTGTTAACTTGTGTGAATACTGAAAAGGTGCTGTTAAGCCCCTAGATTTCTTTGTAATGTGTAACACTTGAGTATGTTATTGATAGTTTCCAAGTTTAAGAACACTATCTTTTTCTTATTATAATTACCTCAGCATATCTGTTTTTTACTCAAAAACTACCCCTCCCCCAAAAAATCCATTTAATTTCAAATTAGAACTTTGATCAACATATATTTAGTTAAAATAATTTTACAGTGTTTCTGGACTTGAGCATAAAGGATGGACTTCTAAAACGAAATAATTGGCATATCTGTTACCTGTATGTAATTAAGTTTTGTAGATTAGGCTTTAATTGTTTCAATATCTAAACGTCAAAAAGTGTAACAATATTTGTAACAAGAGTATTCAGAACTACTGAAGAAGGATCATGTGACATTTTGCACTTTTTACAGGGTTGTGCCAGTTCTAACTTTGTTCCAAGTTCAGAACGTAATCTTGGGCATACTAGTAAATAATTTGTTTAACGTACTGTGATTCAAGGATGACTAAATCCACATTATATACATATTAATTGCCGATATAATGTATTCCACAAAATATTCAATAAATAATGCATTATATAATTTGTTTCTGACAAGTTATTTTGTGAACATGCTAGTTTATCTTTCGAGATCAAAATAGCTCTTTAGTGCATTTTGAAATTTAAACTGTTAGACCGACTCAAAAATACCGTTTTTTCAAAATATGTCATAAAACTCGGTAGTTTTTCAGAATAATTCTCTTGGTTCCAACACCTTTAAGTCAAAATTGAAAGAGTTCTCGTTAGACAGTATATTATCATATTCAAAAATGGCCTTAAGTACATGTTTAAGTTGGTTTTTCTCCGTTCCGACTTTATGCCCCAAGTGTCTAGTAACATTTTCCTTTACATGGCGTTCACATGACACAGAAAACATTATCTGGTAGCTTTGATAAATGATTTTCCAACCTAACTCCTCATCAGCTATATCAGTATTTTACTTTGAAGATGGTACAATAAGCCGCTGGTAAGTACGAGCGCAAATAGGCAAAGCTCGTGTACACTAACGGCGTTATGTAGCATGTCCTAAGGTTGAATATTCTGTCCGCGTCAATTATACTGGGGGTGCTCAACATTCAAAGAACATTTTGAATGAGCATTGCAGGTAATCTTGAGTATACACAATAATTGATAGAGGTTTCCTTTTCTTCTGTATTATCTACAAACAAGATGGACACAGTGGATAAACATAACTGAATAGAAAATGTTCTTGTCTATATACGACAATGTTATGTAAATAACATCTGCGTAAAACATAATGTATAGATTCCGAAGCAGGGGATTCTATTGCGGACAATTTTTTCGTCGTTCATAATCTTTTTCGTGTTATGTCTATTTAGAAACTACAAAAATATTCTTATACGAGAAAACATGATATAAGACTATTAAGTGAGTATGGTTTGGTTTGAATTTCGCACAAAGCTACACGGGAGTTATTTGTGCTAGCCGTCCCTAAGTTAGCAGTGATGGACTAGAGGGGCGAAGCAGCTAGTCAACACCACCCACGCTTGGGCTACTCTTTTACCAACGAATAATGGGATTAACCATAATATTATAACGCTTCCACAGCTGAAAGGGTGAGCATGTTTGCTGTCGAGCGCCCTAACAACCAGGCCAATCTAGGCCTTTACATATTAATGTTTCTTTAGCAAAGTATGTTGAGAAAAACACATTAAATCTTTCCTTACAAAAATATTTCCAATAATAGCATTCTCAATACAGTTAATTACAAAGTCGCAATCAAAGTCACTTTTACAACTCAAAATGCTAACACATAATTAACATTCTATCATTTAGCACATATGGCAGCAATAATAGTTCTCAAGGTTATAACAAATTGGTACAAACTTTATCTACTTGTCTCTAGAGCCCATAAACAAAATGATGCAACGAATTTGGGGTGAGCAATGTGTGCTCCCCCCCCACCCCCCCCACACACACACAGGGCAACCACCTCAAGGGACGTCAAAAATGACATTGCAATTAGTGGTTCTTGTCAGTTTTGCCCCCCAGTGGCACAGCGGTATATCTGCGGACTTACAACGCCAGAATTCGGGTTTCGTTACCCGTGGTGGGCAGAGCACAGATAGCCCATTGTGTAGCTTTGTGCTCAATTACAAACAAACAAACTTGTCAGTTTTACAGGAGTAGGGGCGCCGAATACAAAATTCGTAGTGGCCACAACTTTATTTAGGACTGGCTCTGTCTAACATCACCGGAAGACTTTTTCTGCCAGCTGTGCTCCAAGTAGTTTACTTGCCATATTAACAATAACAAATAGGGCTTGCCTCATCAATAGAGTTGTCACCAATGTCACGTGCACCAATACAAACAATTAGGTGTAGTATGAGTAATATAACGACTAATGTTTATTGTTTAACACGTGCAATTCACGTACCCTCGCAGTATTGTAGATATACTATCATGATGCTAAGTGGTCGTTTTACAGTTTTTAATACATATGAAAGGAACTGATCCACTTAACAAAAACGCGTACAAATGTCGCTGCTAGTAAATAGTTTTATGGACTATTCTTCTTGAACTTTGACATATAATGCCTCTAATTATGATACAATCACTTTCTAAATTACTCCACCGCTAAGAGGGTTTGGTTTGACTAGTTCGTGAAGTGGTCGGGACTTCAAAAAATCGAAATCGGTAATTAATATGTCGACTGCAGTCTCACTATAATTACCAATATCTATGTTTATTTAGAAGGGTTACATGTTCACACTTTTGAGAAGCATTACCATGATAATCAAATTTTAAAAAACAGTGAAAGCGATATTCTAAATTTGACGGTGGAAAAATTTTATTTTGTTTCATTAGTTGACTCGCGATCTGAGGGTCGCGGGTTCTAATCCCCACCCTACCAAACACGCTTGCCCTTTCAGCCGTGGAGGCGTCATAATGTTACAGTCAACCCCACTATTCGTTGGTAAAAGAGTACCCCAAGAGTTTTTGGTAGGTGGTGATGACCAGCTACCTTCCCTCAAGTATTTCACTGCTAAATTAGGGACGGCTTGCGCAGATAGCCCCCGTGTAACTTTGCGCGAAATTCAAACCAAACCAAACTTCATTCATTAGAAAGAGTAAGCAGCTATAGAAACACTAGGTATGACTTTGACAAGAAGTAATCCTTGCACGTCCCACATATCATTTGCTTTGAGCTGTATGAATTTTTTTAAACTATAAAAAGCTCTAAGAAGAAACTTCCACTTTCTCTCAGTTCACACTGGTGTCCAATATGACGGTTGCCATCTGCCATTCCCTTATTATTAGCTACAGTTTCAGATATTTCATAATGTATTTTATTCCCTCTATATCTTATTCTATTCTACGCCTTCTTCGATTTGAAGAATTGACATTGGCAGCATGTTGTGTATGTGTGGACATTTTAAACTTAAATTATTACACATACATATGTAGTCGACGAATGTTAAAATGAACATGGGTCACTTCAGAGCTACATACGGATTTATGCTAATGATCAAGTATTAACTATAGCATGGTATGACGCCAGTAATATACAATAACTATATAGTATAAATTTGTTTGTTTGTTTTTGAATTTCGCGCAAAGCTACACGAGGGCTATCTGCGCTAGCCGTCCCTAATTTAGCAGTGTAAGACTAGAGGGAAGGCAGCTAGATATCACCACCCACCGCCAACTCTTGGGCTACTCGTTTACCAACGAATAGTGGGATTGACCGTCACATTATAACGCCCCCATGGCTGAAAGGGCGAGCATGTTTGGTGGGATTGACCGTCACATTATAACGCCCCCACGGCTGAAAGGGCGAGCATGTTTGGTGGGACGGTATAGTATAAATCAGAAAGTTATTTATTCTTCTTTCTCGGCTAAGAAAATTCTCTAAAGATAACCACGATAGAAAAGTTTTTCAGGGTTATAGTAGATTTATAGGAGAGCCTTCAAGCATATGTAATGTATAATTGTATCTGATTTACTTACACAAGAAGAAAAAAGCTATCATTTAATTGTTTAATTTAAGAAAGTTCTAACGGTTGAATTTTTAAAAATGAGTTATATTGTGAAATACAAAACTACTAATAAACTTAAAAGATTGTTTTAAACTATTTCAATAGTTTTGTTTTGTAACAAAAGGAGTTGACCATAGCTTTTCCACCATGCTACTCAGCAAGGGCGCTCGCAGAAAAAAAAATAGGGGGCAAAGAAACTCAAGTTTGAAAAAATTATGAAATCGAAATAGTTTTCTTCTGCTATGGAAGACTGGAAGTCGCCATTTTTCTGGCAAGGGCTGAATAGATATAAAATTACGATTCGATTAAAATATCTTCTAAATTACTGTATCAACGAGAAATAGAAATAATTTAGATACTAATCAAACTGTTGTTAATACCTCTGTAATTACAAATACCTTATGGTTTTCCAATAACATAGAAGAAAAATGTTACATATCTAGTCATTTTTTTTCTTTTTGAAAATCGGGGGGGGGGGCAAGTGACCACCCCTGCCTCCCTTCCTGCGGGCGCCCATGCTACTCAGTATTTTAAACGTTACTGCTGGCCAGTTAGCGTGCTAGGTTTCGTATCCAAGAGTCCGATTTTCGAACCTGCGATATGCCTTTGAACACATTGTGTATTTACAGCCATGGCTATAAAAGTGCTGTCGCTTCACTTTTTGGTTAAGAGTGGACGCATGATGACTGGGTGGGTGCTGAATTTAATAAAAGAAAAGAGAAGATATACTTTACTTGAAAATGAACAAAAACTATGAGCGTATATACTGTATGACATAAACATTGGAACAAAGGCGAGGCTTCAAGAGTCAGAAACGAACCTGTTTGAAAACATAAAAAACAGCATTTACATTACATAAGTTGATATATAAGAATCCAAAAGTATCTCTTATCAATGTAACTGTCATACAGTAGTCCCATATACACAAGGTTAAACAGGACACCATACAACTATCCAGGAAACTACATAGTTTACAATACAGGATCATCGTACTGAAAGAAGCACCTATAGGTCTGAAATTGAACATGACCTCGACATGATTTAGGAAGAAAATGAACAAAATCGTAAATATGAAACATATACTACAGAAGAATGAGATACGTGGTATTTATTTACCACATTGTTGATCAAAGTTAATTTTTCTCTCTATTATTGAAGCAATATCAATATTTTGTTTCTTTATAATTGTCTTAGGGGTACCCTATGATCGATACTGAATTGACAGTGTATGGAAACAAATAAATTTGGACAATAATTATCAAAATGATCAACTTAGCGTTTTTAAAATTACGTGAAAAGAAAGGCACTTAAATAGTTTTTGATATCCAACTTTTATTCCTTGAAGTCGTTTAAATAAAATACATTTTTACAACTATTCAAGAAATGTCAGATTAGCTCCGAAATTTCTTGGACATTTGTAACTCTGAACTATATTTAGAAACAAAAGGTTTGGAAAAAGTCTTTAAGACTTAATGATTATACCCTTGATATAGTTGTTTTGTTAGTGTTATGTCACTGACTTTGGTCAAATGAATGACACTTA